CTTGCCGGCATTAAATAACTCATTGAGTTTGATATGCCGTACAACAAAATAACTCAAACCAAACTAAAGAGGTGCTAAGTTTAGAGTAGTTGTTTAAGAAAAGAGTAAAAGGGTTTAATATAGCGTTGAGGTATTTCCTGACTGGTCGTATTACTAGTGAGACGAATTTTGGGTGTTACTGAAAGATCTGCAGATGTCTCGAGGCGAGGAATAACCGCGAGATGATTTCTGAACCAGAGATGCACTGCGTCCCTCGTAGAACTTCAATGAACTTCATTTTCTGAGAGTAGCAATATACTTGGAGTAGAACTATCAGCAAAATAAACAGGAATGTGGAGGTAGACGTTGCAGACCATGATTGTATTTTTTTACTTTAATATAAAAAATATTACAACTTTTTTCTGTCAACCGGAAAGTTTTTTTTTTTTTTTTTTTTTTTTTGTTTTGTTTTGATTATATATATATATATATATATATATATATATATATATATATATATATATATATATATATATATATGATAAGCAAATATAAATGGATATAAATCCGACAGAATAAAGAAAATATCTGGAAAAACAAAACAAAATCCTTAAAATGAATTATTTTGTTTTAATATAGATGAAATGCGAATATTTTCGGTTATTTTCTTCGATTCAATATTCATTAAAATCCATTTATATTTGCTTATCATACTGTCCACTGGAAATACAAACCTGAATTCATTTTATTATATGAAGACTGCATGCTTATCCGAAGATACAGGAATCTATTAGTCTCTGCGTTTTCCTACAAGAACAGAAAAGATTTTCAACGAACTGTATATATGAAAAATCTTTCCATCAGAATCAAATTTATAAAAAAATTTTAAGAATACGTTTTTAAAGCGTCGCCCATTTGACGACAACGAAAGACCACGCTCAAACAGAAAGCTGATCATTTAAAATTTTCATTTATCTGTTTTGATAAGACTTGTTTTATGTCCTCGTTTTCGTCGTGTTATACTGATTGTGTTAATTGTATTTTTAATGAATATTGTCCTGAAGAAGGTTATTAAACCGAAACGTCAGACGTCGTCATTTCATCTATATTAAAACAATATAATGCATTTTAAGGATTTTTGTTTTGTTTTTCCAGATATTTTCTTCATATATATATATATATATATATATATATATATATATATATATATATATATATATATATATAAAGACATATAGATATACATCTATACGTGTTTCTGTTCTTATCTCTTTAGTCGTTCTCAGTGTTCTTTACTTTGTCTCCCTTTTCTTCCTCTGTTTTTATCTTTCTTTTATCTCCCTCCTCCAACAATGTCTGTCCCTTCATCTTTTCTTTACACACACACACACACATACATACACACACACACATATATATATATATATATATATATATATATATATATATATATATATATTATTTTACATGCAGCAGTACTTATTGGAATGTGCTCAATATCAATGATAAAGCTAAACATATTCAGTTGTATAGATATGAGTTTGTGACCCTGTTTCATTGCTTTTGCGATCATCAGAAAAAACTCTTGTCTGATGATCACAAAAGCGTTAAACACAAACTCATATCCATATGAATACACACACACATACACACATATATTGTTTTTAAGAACATGTAATTTCCCTTTATGATTAATATAAAAATCTATATTCAGAACTCTAAAAAATTTTTTACATATATATATGCAGCAGCGGTCAAAACAACAGCAGCAACAATAACAACAACAACAGAGGCAGCAGCAAAGACCAGCAAAGCCGCAGCGTCAACAGCAGCCGAAGAACCAGCAGCGGAAGAAACTGCTTCCGGTGCAGCAACCGAAGCAACGTCCGAAGCAGAATCTCCCGCATCAACAGCAGCAGCAATCAGAACCAAAGCAAGCAGTAGTGTAGTTGGAGGTACTTGGAGTTCCACGTGGTTATGGAAGAAATACCCCCGCCAAGATCCTCCTCGCTTAAAAATGGAAGGGACGAGGATGAAGATGAAGAAGAATGCGAGATTCATGAGAGACCGGGGTAACGCTACTCGCCTGCTTTGTGATCACTTGTTCCTCGGTGTAGATGTATCTGCTATCCAAGAGACACTTTGCGACGTTGATGGTCGTAGGCTGTCTAGCGACTTAGTTGTCCATTCAGCATATGGAGACCAGCTGTTAGTAAGATGCGAGGGTGTTCATGTCGACGAGCTGGCGGGGGTGCGATTGATCGTAGCTGATATTGTCGTAAGCAGTGTTCATTTCGGGTCGTTGTGGTTTATGCGCCTAATGTCAACTTTACCGTCGGTTTGGGCCGTTCCTTGTCGATTCGTTGCGCTTAATCGGGCACTGGAATGTCATCCTAGACTCCCAGATAGTTGGCTAGATTAGTGCAGATGGAATAAATAGGAACGGTTATTAGGAATAAGTGTTGAGAGAGGCTTAGGTCTTTCACCACCGAATATAGACAACGACTCGCTCTAGATAAGGCTAAGATTGGCTTCGTCGGAGGTTGTCCGTTAAGGGTAAGGCTGAAGCGTTTGCTGTGTACGTCTTTCCGATTATCCTTTATCGACTGGTTGTACTTCCTCCCTACAAGAACAAAAAGAAGGCAATCGATCGCTTGTTCGTTTCCCTCTTAAGGGGTAGTCGCAAGTATCTGGTCTGCAGAGAGACTGTTGTCCAACGTGTCATAGGGACTGGGAATGCCGCAATTGATGTGCGATCGGCACGCTTCAAGGTTGGCGTGCTTACGTCGTTCATTGACGGAAGACTCGATTTTGGAAGGGAGAGTTAGGGATGCCTTACCTAGTCTTACTATTACTCTCTCCGTTTCCGAGGCTGAACACCATAGTAAATTTCGGAATTAATCGATATTCCTGCGAGAGTGTTAGGCTGCCTTAAGGGATCTTCCTCCGTCAAGTGACCTTTCACGGCCTCGTAGGCTATTGTATCGTGATCTAGTAGAGTGAGTGGCGACGGACCGCTTTTGTGGCTGGCTCGGCTTTTTGACATCAGAGTTACGATCTTTCTGGTCTAGGGAGCAAGCGGCGAACTATCTCAGCAACCCTGAGTTTTCGCTTACCTGTCGATTGATGCGTAACGTACCCTCACTTTCTGTCTCCCTTTCTCTCATATCAAACCTGGCCTCTATTGCCATGTTTGACATGAGTTTTCTTTCTCATGGGCTAGCTGCCAGCCAAGATCAGCGGCATCATTCTCTCCTGTTGTTTAACTCAAAACTAAAGGTAAATGGATTCATACCTTTTTTTTTTCCAAATAAGAAATCGATGAAATTTGAAGTCGGTTCGTCGATTTCATTTTCCACATCCCGATAACCGGTACAGTACCAGCAAATGTTTATCCATATGTCTGTAAATGTGTATTAATCCTCTCTCCATTTTGGCATAAGGCCACAAGTATGTGGATGAAGTTTAACGAGTTTGTTTCATCAGCCATTGTCACTTTGATAGGCGGGAAGCGTAACGGTTGCGGGTACTACAAATGGTATAGATGATCCGAGTTCAAGTTCTGTTTCATTCGCTTTGGAAGAAAAGGGGAAAAAAAGTAACGAGAAAAAATAGAAAGAAAAGTAAGAAATATGAAATGAGAAAAGAAAGAAAAGAAAGAGGGGGGAAAAAGAAGAGAATAGAAAGAAAGAAAAAGGAAAGAAGACAAAGAAATGAATGAAAGAAAGAAAAAGAAATGTTATAAACAAAGTTAAAACATAAGAGGGAAAAGAAGATAAAGATAGGGTAGAAAAGAAAAGAAAAGAAAGAATTAAAAAGGAAAGAAAATGGAATAAACTTTCATTCTTTCCGCTATTGTATAAACAAAAAAGAAAAAAGTGGTGACGAGAGGGTGGGGATCAGAAAGTGCAGGGCACCGTTCGCCGGCAGACCAGCTATTCTTCCTTCGTCGTCGGTCGCCTCAAGGAAATGAATTGCGTGACTCCCTTTCTCGGCCGTTACACCGAGCAGTCGTGAAACGGACCCCAACTCAGACGCGCCTACTTCGACTTTGTCCGTCTGTCAATTCGTACGTCCAGCTCTATTGCACGCAGTCCACCGAATGACTCCCGACCTGAGTCGTGCTGCTGACAGCCCGCTTTTTATGCCAGTCTGATACGGCCAAAATTTGCATGTGTGCAAATATCTCGTTTTGGACGAGATAGGCGCGCATAAATTGCGTCATCAATAGCGGCCATGTTTCCTTTCGTCATTACTTTGCAGGCAAGACACCTTCGCGCTCGTTTTGAACTCCGAGGTAAGTCATGTATTTCGTCACAGCTATAGGTTAAACAATAAAGTAAGCTGATGTGTATAGCCTTGAGTTGCAGCCACTTTAGAAGAATTATTTTGAATTCAAAACAATGAAGAATTAAACGGCAAACTACTCCGCTATCGTTCCTAAGTCTTGAAAACTGGTAAATAAAAATAATAAGGAATTTGTGGGTAGCCATGATCGCTTGTGTGAAGAGACATGACGTTTAAAAAGGCAACTGACAGCTCAAGCCGTGTTTTGAAATCGAATCGAATCTTTCCAACGGCAGATCAATAAATTAACGGCAGCAGATTCAAAACGTTGAGGCATAGAAAAGCTTCAGGATTAGTGCACAGAGGCGCACTCATATGTAAATTACTGCGCGCTAGATCAGAGACGTACTACTGTGAAATGGATTTTCTGTATATATTACAAGTCGAGATTTGTCTATAACTGTCAAACAGTGACCTCTTGTATCAGGAGAAAATGACTCCTCTTCGCGTACATTACATTAGAATTTCATCTGCTACTACGAGAGTGGACTGAAACGTTCATAGTCTGACTATGAAGGGGTGATGCTAGAACTGTGAAAACCTTGCATACATTTATTTCAATTTCTCTTATTATTTCAATGCGTGTTCATATTTCGATGTTACATTTCCCGTTTAGTCGATAGTCCTTTACCACCATTTAGCAGTTTTCTCAGTTTTTTCTTAAAGATAACCAA